CTTTCCTTGGCGACCCTTTCTTTCTCTAGTCTTTCCTTTTCCTTGGCGACCCTTTCCTTCTCAAGTCTCTCCCTTTCTAATCTTTCCTTCTCTGCCTTCTCCCGCTCTGTTCTCTCTCTTTCTTTGGCAATGCGTTCCCTCTCAAGCCTTTCCTTTTCAGCCCTCTCGCTTTCCACTCTTTCTTTCTCCTGTTTCTCCCTCTCTGCCTTTTCCCTCTCCACCCTCTCTTTCTCCATTCTTTCCTTTTCTTCTCTAGCTGCCTTTTCTTTAGCAAGCCTCTCCATTTCCAGTCTCTCTTTTTCTGCCTTCTCTTGAGCTAACCTTTCTCTCTCAGCTTTCTCCTTGGCTTCCTTTTCCAGCTTGTCCTTCTCAATCTTTTCCTTTTCTATCTTCTCCTTCTCCAATCTCTCCTTTTCCAACCTCTCTGCTTCCTTTCTCCTCTCTTCACTTTCCCTCTCCTGTCTGAGTTGCTCCTCAGCCACCTCCAGCTCCTTCTTCTTCAGCACCCAGACTGCCTCCCTTGCTTCCTCCTCTTGGGTGAGAAAAGCCCTAATCTCAGCCACTGCGATGCGAGCGATCCTCTTGGCCTCCATCTTCTCATGGATCGTCCTCAACTCGTTCTTCAGAGTCGAACGCAGCATGGCGCCTCGGACGACGTGGTCTGAGGCTTGAGGTGAAAAGTCTTAAGATTACTGTCCACATGCTCACCACTACGACTCATTAGTGTGCTGGCACACAGCAACCAAGGAAATGTTAGAGATGCAGGGGAAGAGATGCAAGTCCGATGTTAGGGTCAATTTAAAAGCCACACAAATGGGGTCGACTGTTTAAGACTTAGGATTATGTTGCTTTTACAAAACATCCACAGAGTTCAATTTATTAGAATCAAGGATTAAATTATCCCTGTGAAGAACTCGTCAGTGTGTACGACATGAGACTCGTGAAAATCAAACTTTATCCGATTTAAATTTGGCTGATTTCACCTTCATGGTCGTTGCTTTCCTACCTCTGGGCAGCTTCCACTACTGCTGGTATTTCCTGTTCTGACCGCTTGTACTTTTTCTCCACTGTCTCAAAACAGCAAAATCTTCAACTTCATCTTGTGGAAGAGAACAAATTAATAGGGACAATTCTGGCGAGGTGTGGTGAGGCTACAGCTCCAGAGAGTGTAGGTGGGTAACATCTTAGAGGCAGAAATAAAAAAACAGTCGATTCGTCACACAGATTCCTAGTTCAGGCGTTTTCCTCTGAATGTTGTTCAGTTTAAAGAGTCGGGACTTTACAGTAAAGTCTGTCTGAATAGTCTTTCTCTGGGAGTTTAATTTCATGGCGCGCAAGTTGAAAAATGAAATAAAAAGTCTTGCTCGTGACGGACTAGCTTTGGGCTCGGACACAATAGACTCTGAGTCAGAATAGCTCTTTTAGTCTCTTGGTTGTAGCCAGAGACCCAGCAGTCATCACCATCTTTGCTCTAGGACATGAAATTTGGGTCAGAGTTGGAGGACTGCGGTGAAATCACAGACAGGAGAGGGCAAGTAGCCACTTGCAGGGATCTCCAGTGATGGAAACCGTCCAGGGGTGCAAGGGAAGATAACCTTGAAGCTGATATCAGCCAAATTTTAAATGACTAAAGGGGCGACCACGATAGGTATAACTGACTGTGAGTCACAGCGGATATTCGAGGCTCCGGTGTTTACTATCCTAGCATGGGTTAACTAATGGTACCCTTTGCTGTCACTGGCAGTTGCTTCAATCACTTACGCCCCTAAAATTCACACTTTCTGCATTCTTTAGTTATAAAATTATACACAGTACAGGACACTCTGGACATGCAGTCGGCAGGTTTTAGTACCTCGAGTCGTGTTCTTCTTCTCAGTAGCCTCTCCTGTAACCTCTACTAATAATACACAGAAGGAAAAACAGCCCATGACACACAGCAGTACCACAAATTCAAGCACAAACCCACACAGAGGGATCACTACCTTCTGGGAGTTTAACCTCAGCATCAGTGGCCTTTAACACCTCATCTTCTATGAGGACAAACAAATCAGAGAGTTTGATAGTGAAGGTCTACTTGCTGATAACAGAAAGCCAAACTAGCACAGCAAGCGGTGCAAACAACAAAAACTTGACAATAAAAGAAAACAGCGGCGATTTCAGGCGTCTCAGAGTGACTTCTGGCACAGAGTCTCTCTTTTGACTCTGGTTATTCTGACTGAAACTAACATTTCTGAGCTTCATGCCTCACTGGTCTGAAATAACTTCAGTGATCTTGTAACACTTCAGTCAAAGCTGAAGATGTATCCACAACTTTTACTCGAGATAAACACTCTCAAACACGTAAAAACATTACTGTATTTAATGGTATTAGTGTATTTCAGAAGCACAAACAGAGCCACTAAAAGTCATGAACGACCTCACTCTGTAACGAAAAGGCAGACAGTTAGAGAGTTAAGGCTGTTATGGGCTCAGTTAGTCACTCAGCATCAAAC